TTCTTCTTTCTTTCTTTCTTTTCTTTCTTTCTTTTCTTTTCTTTCTTTGTACAAGGTACATCTAAATTCTGATCAGATCTGAATCATAATTCAGAGTTGATCTTAAAAATCAGATTCAAGGTTGATGCACCTGGATGCTCGGTTGAGGCATCCCATTTGAAGTCACTCATGATCTCTCGCTGGACGTAAGTTTGAGCGCAATTGGGCTCTCTGCTTGAACTCAGACCCTGAGCCTGTCGAGATTCTGTCTCCCTCTTCCTCTGCCCTTCCATTTCTACCTGTCTCTCAATAATAAAATATAAAAAAACTTTTAAAATTAAAAATCAGAGTCAGAAGCAGTTATACTTTAGCTAAATAGTATATTTTCATTACAATGAGAACATTATATGTAAATTATAGTTCATTATTACAACTTTTAAAATTAAAAATTATTTTTAATTCAAGTCAGTTTAACCCATGTTTAGTTCTTGGAGAATCTAGTTCGAAGCCTGTGTGCTCATTATATATCCTGCAGTTATTAGTAAGACCTGCTTATGGTGAAAAGTACTGCTTGACCCATACTTGCCTGAATTCTGTCAAAGACATTCCATGTATTCATACTATTATTGAAAAAGCTCTGAAGCTTAGCAGCAGTATAAGGATTGTGTAAATCATAAAGTAGAGAGTCATTAAAAAAAGATTAATATTAACATCAAGCCCTGCTACAAGAAATTCTGGAAGAAAAATATTATCGAAAGATGTCATCCGTGAACGGGTTGTAAAAGCATGCGTGCTGCTGTGAGTAGTCGGGAAATAGAAAATAGATAGGATTTGTGGAAAGATAAAGTGGAAACTCATGCTTCAAGGCAAAAACAACACAAATAACTAAAAAACTATAGTGCTCAGAAAAAGCTTCTGACCTTGATCCTAAATCTTTCCTACTAAGAACAAATGAGAAAATATATTTCCCCAGCAGATTCCAGCATTTATGTGCTCAGGAAAAACATCTCTGAAGTAAGAAAGAGGAGCCACCTCTCAAAATCCCCATCAAGTGCCCATGAAGTGCCAAGAATCCCTGCTCACCAAAATGCTGTTTTGAGAATTTGCAATCCATGAGGCAGATTGCTTCCCCTTGTCAATGAATAAACTGGCATCTTCCTGTCTTGTAAAATCTACTGTGGCCCTTTGGGAACTTCAAATCCCCTTCAATCTTCTCTAGTTCTATGCAGATAAACCCTGATTGTAGCAGATATTTGGCTGGAGTGATAAATAATGATAATTTTCTAGGAAACAGAAGACCCATAATCAAGAAATCAAACAAGCAAGTTCCAGAGAAAAATTCAGTCTTTCTGACGAACTCATATAACAATTAAATAGCGTCCACGTATTGAATGACCTGGTGATTAAGGTCCTGCTATCTTCCTCAATCTGCCTGGCTTATTACCACCACCAATCCCTGCTTCTCTTGACTGGGGCTTGTCTGTATAAATGAAGTTGTCTGGCTCTAATGCTTGCTCGATTTTCAAGTTGAGCAAATGACTTATTTCCTTCTGTACCAAAGTAGCCTCATCTGTAAACTGAAGATAAAATCATTGACAGGATGGACTAAGATTAAAGGAGATATAGTAATCAAAATACTTAGCATAGATTCTTTATATATAGTGACCATAAAATAATGGTAATTTGATGAAGACAATATATGACAACAACAGCATTTCTTTGAAAAGTCACAGAAGGTAGGAAGCTATGAGGAGCTTCTGGAGTATCCTTCCAGAAAGGAAACACCCCAGAGTGGGCACCTCACAAAAGTGACCTAACCTGGTAACCTGAGGGGTGGGAATGATGCCAGTTTCATCTCCATCTCATCCAGTTGAAAATTCAGTGGAGCCATAATATAAATTACTTCATAACCTTTTTCTCCACCCCCAAAGTCTTTGGGTAATTATGATGGCTTTACTTCTATACTTTTCATTCTACTCAGTGTCAGTCGTGGAGAAAAAAAAAAAGTCAGAGCCCAGGATGAAATGGGAAGTCTCTCCAAGAACAGGAATGAGGTCTTTGGGACTACAGGGAGCCTGGAATCTGAGCAGCCATGTTACTGTTCTCAAATTGCCACAACATATAATCACTACATTCCATATATTCACTAGTGTTTGCTCTGCCTGTTTTTCCACAGCTCCTTATATGCTGGCCTTGGTTCAATTTTTGTCCAATTCCTCTTGTTTCTGATCCTATATTTCAAATTCATTCACATGGTCTTGTGATGTCTTCTACCATTTCCTAGAGGAGGAGGATTGAGTTTAAGGATTGAATTTAAGATGTCAAACATCAGAAGTGTAATTCGGTTTTAGACCTCTGAGTCATATTGTCACCTTAAAAATCACTGATACTTGGGATTGGAAGGGACCTTCTTGAAGGTCATCTAGTACATCCTAATAGAATTCTTGAATCCTTATTCTGTCATATCAGAAAAAAAAATAATCCTTCTCCCGTTATAAGCATCACATCCCACCCACGGACTCAAAGACCACCTACCATAAAGATCTAGG